GGCAGTAAAGCCCAACATAAAGGTATGAAATAGATTTATGAACCTGAAACTAAAATCTGTGTCATCACTCTACAGCCATTAACAAGCCTCTGGAAATTTATCAGCCTCACAACATGTTAACATTCTGACATTCAAGAAAGAAACTATGAATAACAAAATTCTTTTTTTAATCACCATTTTGAGGGCTAGCAGAAAATATCTTCAGGTAACTTGCAGACAAAGGCTACACAGAAAAATAATACTAGATATCTCACAACTCACAGAAAATATGAGTTAGTTTTTACTTTGGTTCTAATGAGGCAGTGTGCACTAGGATGGCCTGCTGATGGTTTCCATTAACATTTAACTGTTTTAGCTTAGCTTGGCTGGAACAAAACAGAATTTTAAATGGCATTTAAATTTAAAATTTTAAACTTTATTCATAGAAGTAAATTTCTCAGGAAATCTCAAAGGGGATACTACAGCAGCTTACCAGTAAAGACTAACATTAGCTCCTCCAAATAAAATTACTCACTCTTTGACTACCTAATCAAGCCACATAAAACCATCCTTCAAGGTAAATGTTAACCCATATAATTGTAAACCTAAAGTAACAGCCAGCATCTGTTCTGTTGGTGCCAAGGTCATTTCAGCTCTTAGATATTTTGAATATCATCCCTGGTTCTAGTATCACAAACTTATGAATCTATGTGGACTGACTGATACTTCTAGGTGGGCTAATGACCGTGCCTGTGAAAATGTATGGAGAACCTAGAACTAAGCAGGTCCATGATACCTGAACATGTCTTTGTCAGAGTTATCAAGCCACTGGTTGATACTGGTGGCTCTAATCAAAAGCGTGATTCTGGAAAAGTACTCATCAGTACTGAAGGAAGTACTTTTTCTTAGGTATGGGTTAGAAAAAGAGAACTGCAGACTTGGGAGATCATTAGCCAAATCTCTCATCCATTGCAGAAATCCCTTCCACAATATATGAATCAAGTAACCTTTGCTTGAACATTTCCATTGATAGGGAGTTAGTTCTCTTTTTCTTGGAACATCTCATACCAACAGCGTCATTCAACACAGGTAGGGTCCTCCTAATCCATATCTGGATCCTTCTCTTCCAGTCCTTAAAAAAGGAATCTCAAAATCCAGCTCTCCACTTGATTTTCAACACTTTCTCTTTCATCGAGTTTTCTTTGACTTCACAGGGTTACTTCACAGTTGACTTGGGCATGATCTCTCTCTTCGTTAGTCCTATATTCTGAACTACCTCTGAGATATAGGTTTTTACATTTAAAAACATCTAACACTCAGTATCCCTTAATTTCTTTAAACTTCCTTCTCAACATATATGCTATTGTTGCTGTGTATTTTCTCTGGCTTAAAAACTGAATATTGTTATTGTTTTCTATAATTTGTGTGTTTTAACTTAGTCACTTTGTATTTTCATCATTCTCATTTTTTTTTTGCTTCTAGACTTCTATAAAGGGTCCATTAATAGCAATTCTTCATTTTTGCTTTTTGAAAATGCCTTAATTTTGCCCTTTCTTGAAAAATATTTTTACTGGATATGGATTCTAGGTTGATAATTATTTTCTTTCAGAGCAGTTTAGGTATCATTCCACTGTGCCTGGCTTCCTCTGTTGCTATTGAGAAATCAGTGGTTAGTCTTCTTGGAAGGCAATGTTTTTTTTTTTTTTTCTGACTCCTATGAGATGTGTCTGTAATGTATGGATTTTTTTTCATCCTGCTGGAGATTTGTTGGGCTTCATTAAATATTACCTCTGTCCCATATTCTCTTTTCTTCTTCTAATATTCCAATCAGAACACTTTATCTCCCATGTTCCTTAAGCTCTCTTTCAATCTGTCCTTCTGTGCTGCTTGTCCATATAATTTCTTCAGTTCTACCTCCCAATTCACTAATAACTGTTTTTGTATATTTTCCTGAACAGTATCTCCTATATTCAATCCACTATAACAAATCCTGTTGATGGATTCTGCCTTTAAGTCTCTGATTTATTCCTGAATACTTGGTTCTATTGTTATCATCCTAGTTTGGGTCCTTACCTGCTTTTAGCTAAGTTAAGAGGGGTCTGCGGGATCTAAAATTTAGCATGAAAAAAAACAAAAAAACAAAAAACCCCAAAACTTAGCATGTACACAATTAAGGCTCTTAGCTTTCTAAAATACGGAGTTTGTTATGTTGGTCTCCTATTAGAGTCTTCATCACCTCCTTCTACTTAATGATGGGCTAAGTCCTAAAATATCATCTTTCCAGGATCTGGTCCTATGTTGCCTATCCAATTAATAAGCACAGATTCTCAGCCCCAACAGGCCTATTTTCTTTCTATCCCCTGCATAAGCCATGTGTGATTTTGCTAACATGCATTTGGTCCACAGTCTTTTTACCAAAGTATGCCAATCCTTTCAGGCCTTTCTCCTTTGCAAAGTTTCCCCTGATAAATCCCAAATGTGCTCACTCTGCTTTTTGGTTTCCCTGAGCCCTCTTGTGTGCAGTATATATTTTAATTCTTCACTCAGATACAATTCTTTAATATTTCAGTTTAAGTTATAAGTAGCTTAACTGGAATTCTAAGTGAGGTATAACTCCAAAGTTTATGCTTTCTATTATATGAAACTCTCATATTCAATGAGTAATTGTTGATTTGCATAAGAAAAGGAACCAGATGCTTTAAAATCAGACATAACATTTAACTGTTTTAGCTTAGCTTGGCTGGAACAAAACAGAATTTTAAATGGCATTAACAATTTTAAACTTTATTCATAGAAGTAAATTTCTCAGGAAATCTCAAAGGGGATACTGCAGCAGCTTACCAGTAAAGACTAACATTAGCTCCTCCAAATAAAATTACTCACTCTTTGACTACCTAATCAAGCCACATAAAACCATCCTTCAGGGTAAATGTTAACCCATATAATTGTAAACCTAAAGTAACAGCTTACACATCTGGAAGTTCACTCCAGGGACCACCCCAATGTTAAGGAAAAGATACCAAGAGTCTAGTTTTAGAAATTATTCTTATATTGATAAACAGCCAATCCAGTTAAAATAGGTTGCACTACACCAAATTTACCCCATTCACTTACAAAATAGTCATCTTTGAACTAGACTTCAACAATTATGAGTGTCACTGTTATTTGGGGTTTATAATGCAGAATCCTCCTTCTGCATTAAAGTACTTTTGTCCTTTTTATTTCTAACACATAAGAAATCAAATTGAGGGGTGCCTGGGTGGCGCAGTCAGTTGAGCATCTGCCTTTGACTTGGATCATGATCCTAGGGTCCCCGGGTCTAGTCCCCCAGCTCCCCACACAGTGGGGAGTCTGCTTCTCTCTCTGCTTCTGCCCCTCCTCTGCTCATATTGTCTTTCTCTCTCTCACAAATATAGAAATAAAATCTTTTAAAAAAAGGGAATCAAATGGAGTCTTGAGTTATCTTGAATAACTTATAGTTACTTTTTAACAGATTTATATTACATATGTATATTTTTCATATATATTCTACTACATATATGTATTTTACATATTTATTTTTACACACATATATTTTATATATATGTAAAAGAACCCTCTTTGCATGTAGATTTTTGGAAAATAGTTACTTAATTGTAGGCCAATAAGGGAAGACAGACTGGGAAAAGTAAACTATCCTTAGTATTTCTCTCATTGGACAGTGTTTATCTCTCTTACCTTTCCTGTCCCGTCCTTCATCAACACATACTGGCAGACTTCCTAGGGCAATGCAGAAATCCAGACAAGAGAAGGAAGCACACTAAAATAATGGAGGACAGGCTACAGGAGATGGACAGTGTCAGACATCATGTGGGAGAGAAGAAGGAATTATCACAGTTAGCCACTTTGTTCAGGAGAAACTAAAACTAGTTATTTCAAAGGTAGAGAGATAAGGAAAAAAAAGAAAGATCTTTTATTTCTTTGCAGCAAGGCTCCTTTTAATAAGAACAGAGAGTTGCAGTTAATTTGGAAATGTGTCTTCAGAGAAACAGAAATAACTTAGCAAAGGGACAAAAGATAAATAAGATTTTCCCAATTTAAAAATATTAATCAAGAGATATAATTATAGGCACCGAGAAAAGAAAAAAAAAAGGCAGAACTATAACTTAGAAGCTGCTAAGAGAACTATTCTTTCTTCTCCAAGAGAACACAGACTATTAAAGGCAAAGGAATCCCAATGTGTATAGATAAAAATGATGAATGAAGCATATGGACGTAACTATCCTTAGCTGCATGGTCTTCCACTCTGAAGGACAATAATGTCACATTTAACAATGGAGTTCTAGAAACTAGAGAAAGTAGTCTAATGAGTAGCTTTTTCACATCAGGGACAATCTTCTGAACATATTTGCATGACATGAAATATCTCCTCTATCCTTGCCCTTGGAACTATCCCATCTAGTACACAGTGTTTGAAATACCACCATTGGGAGACAAGAGTCCTTTAGATTAATTATATAGCCTGTGTAATTTAGTACTTTTTCCGCCAAATGTGAGAGCTAGGAAAGTTTGAAGCTACTCGCACTGGCAGTGTGATTGTTTCTTTCAATTCCAGAGAGTTTATAAAGATGGATACCTGAATGGGTCAAGGTATAGGAAAAGGAGCAAAAAAGGATATGGAACCTAAGAAAAACTATTTTACAATCTTGGATATAACCAGTTGCTATTATGAATACACTACAGGCTAAAGTCTCTGTATATGTGATTTAGGCATTACTTAAAAAAAATTTTTTTTTAAGATTTTATTTTCTTAATTCATGGATAGCTAACAGGGCATTTCTTTAAAATTAATGCTCAATTTCAACAAGTTGAAGTCGTCACATTTCTAAACAAGTTAAATGACAAGCTACATCTTGTTGGGGTTGTATTTTCCATAAAGTAAAGGGCAACTTATGTAAGAATGAGTTCATTTTTAAAACTTAAGTGGTTTTATCAATTCTGATAATATCTGAATAGTCTATGCAAATCTGTTAAATGCATACCTCATATTCTTTTCTGCAGGCTTTGGAAATATCGTTTTTTGATGATGCCTAAAAGATAACAAATTTCTCCATTAATTTATTACACATGCTATTCAACATAGGACAAAAAGAATACAAATTAATATACATTACTTGCTAGTATGGTATTCTTTATTTCATCAAAGAGAACCTTATGCTCCAATATTTAAAAGTTCCTCTAAAATACAACAAACAAATTTCATACAAGTTCTTTAAAACAAACATCAGCCCCAGAACCTACACGATATGCTAAAATTTCACTATTTTATGGCTTTAATCTCACATAATAACAGGGTCCTTTTGTTATTTCAGAAACTAGATGACTTTGAAGAAAATGTAAATCAGAGAACTTTTTCTTAGTTGATTTCCACTCTGTAGCCAATTTTCTTATGAAGCTTTGCCAGAGCTTTTATATTTTCCTTTTTCTTTAACCCTTTATATTCGAAATTCTCATACTGACTTATGTCAGTATCTTTTCCTCGGAAAAGATCCATATGAAACGAAGGGGGCAACTAAAGAGGGAAAGGCCATGCCAGGCAATTAACAAAAGTTATTTTTGGGGATACCTGGGTGGCTGAGCGGTTGAGTGCTTTCAGCTCAGGACATGATCCCTAGGGTCCAAGGATCACATTCTGCATCAGGCTCCCTGCAAGGAGCCTGCTTCTCCCTCTGCCTATGTCTCTGCTTCTCTGTGTGTCTCTCATGAATAAATAAATAAAATCTTTTAAAAAAAGAGTTATTTTTATATAATTTTCTTTATGTCCCCATCATTACAGTTCAAATCCTCTGCAACTCAGATTCATCTCAATGGCTGGAGGAGAGTGGCAGAGATGGTTAGGCTGTGTGCTGCTCTGTTGCTCAGGCTACATAGTACAATGGTCTGTATGAAAGTAAAGGTGACAACATGTCTCATGTACTCTGATCCAGAGATCAGTCACTAAAAGAAAAAAATAAGAGAATGCTTTCCAGCTGTGGTTTCCAGTCTATCTAAATTTTCCAGTTAAGTCTACTCTTACCAGTTGTGAGTATGAGCAGCTAGCAGACCAGTTTTCCCATAGTACTCTGAGGAACCACTATGAAAATACACACAGTGAGGAAGAACAGAGGGGCCTAACTTGAATTGGACCAGAGATCTATCAAATCAAAGAGAAGTCACAGTTCACTGTCGGAGTCATGCTCACCTTTGGAGCAGAGAAGCAATATAAGAACATGTTCAGGGTAAAACCATGATGAAAGAGTGAAGGAAAGATGAAAGCTAAATAAGTCAGCTGTGTCATCTTCCCATCCAAGCATACTCTAAATTTACACAATCATTTGAAGTCACACGGCATTGACTAAGTATGACCACAGAGTACAAAAGGCCTCATCTTCCCATCCAAGCATACTCTAAATTTACACAATCATTTGAAGTCACACGGCATTGACTAAGTATGACCACAGAGTACAAAAGGCCTCAGTTCCAATAATATTCTTTCCTCTCTCCTGCATGGCAGAGAGAAGAAAGAATAAGAAAAGACTGAGAGAATAAGAAAAGGTTGAGGGTCTCATAGCAGCAACTGTAACTGAGAAAACAGCAAGTTTTAAAGGAAGTGGTCTATGCAAGAGATGGTAAATTTGTAGATTTTATGGGTCACCTCTCCAAAGGTAAGAGGTAGGCAAAGTCCAAAACATACACACAGCTAATACTCAAACTGTACTCCATGCTGCTTATGAGCCTGATTGCTCAGTATTACCTGCTTGCATGCCTGTCGACACTCCAAGGTAATAGCCAGTTCACAGCAGCCTAAGCCAACCCAGCCATCAGACTTCTTAAACACACCTTAAAAAACAAAATGTTCAAATTTTTTGGTCATAAGCAGTAACAAACACAGATGGTATGCCAAAAAAAGTTAAAGCAGGTGTCCATAGGAAAATTAGCTCAGATAGCAGGGCCTCAAAATTATTAAGGCCCTCCTCCCACCCTTACCCCCAATGCTGTCACTCTTTCAGAACCCTCACAACATAATATCAGGTGCTTTGTTTTTTTTTCTCTCTTCTCGCTGCCACCCTAATCTCTCTTCCGATCATTCTCACTCTTGGGTAGACAGCATCCCTAGAGGATACACAGGTTAAGAAAAGCAAGGAGAGCCCTTCCTCCCTTTAGACTGTGAAGCAGAGGCAAAGATTCTAAATTAACATGCAAATGAAAAACGGCATAAAGATTATTATATTCAAAATATTAAATTTGAATACCTAGAATAGTATAAAACCCATGATGTAGTTTAGAAACTGATACTTAATGAACAGACAGGAACATTTCCTGTGGGCAAGAACTGACTTTGATGAATACACTTAATTATGGGGCAAAATGACTATTCTGTTTCAATTTATACACAGCAGCTATTTCTCCAGCCAAATTACTGTGATATCAAAAGGTAATATAATTATAAAAGTATCCTAATGCCATTTCTTACATCCATTTTTGCAAGTATAAATGTCAATGAATGACTCCTAGGATGAAGTTAAGAGACACAAGTAATGATTATCTAAAGAGGAAAAACGGGATCCCTGGGTAGCTCAGTGGTTTAGCATCTGCCTTTGGCCCAGGGCATGATCCTGGAGTCCCGGGATCGAGTCCTGCATCAGGCTCCCTGCATGGAGCCTGCTTCTCCCTCTGCCTGTGTCTCTGCCTCTCTCTCTCTCTCTATCATGAATAAATAAAATCTTTTTAATAAATAAATAAATAAATAAATAAATAAATAAATAAATAAATAGGAAAGACATATGCTTATAGGCATATGGTCCATTCCTCTTTATCTCTTTTCAGAAATGCCCCTTTGCCTAGTATAGCTTCCTCTAAATCTTTGCTGTTTACTATTCAGAATCACTCACATTTTAAAAATTGTTTTGAAAAAAAAAATAAAAAAAAAAATAAAAATTGTTTTGAATGGAATCAGTATACGTCATAAATTCTGTGAACTTTTATACCATAATACAGTATATTGCTGTTTCCATACCCCTAGTGACCTCCTAGAAACTATTAAACTGTCCAATAAGGGTTTACAATATTATGTGCAAAGCACTCCATTAGGTATTATGTGGCTATGAAATAGAGAAAATATATGCTTTATCCCATTATGTAGATTATATATATGCAATATATATGTATGCAATATATATACATATATATGTATCAGAGATATAAATTATATATAAATAATTCCAGGACATTAGGTAGAGGGATAATTGGGAGAACAAGCATGGATATGGGCAATTCCAAGAAGGCAAATAGTACAATTTGTTTGAAATACAAACTTCAAACAGTGTGAAAGCCTTTGGAGTTCAGAGATATATAAAATACACTTCCTTTTTTCAAGGCACTGGCTTTAATCAGGACTGGAAGCTTTAATCCTGGAAGACTGTGAATGCCAGGCTAGAGAGTTTGGGCTTTATTCTGATAGAAGTGGCTATCCACTGGAGGGCTCTTTTTTTTTTTTTTCTTGAAGGAGCTAGGGAGGACAATTATGAGATGTTGAAATACCAGATACAAGATTGTTACAATATTCCAGCCCCAGAACATAATAACAATGGCTTGAACTAGGAGTAGAGAGGACAGATGCAAGATTTTACAAGAAGAGTCAATGGAGCTAAAAAGAAAAAGCCAGCAAAGATAACTTGAGGGATTCCAGTCAAGTGTCATTCACAAGATAGGTAGTTATGAGTTTGGTTTTTTATTTGTACTTCAGTCTTCACCAGGATGCAGAAATCCAGGTAGACATGTCTAGAAGTCGTGAGTAACAACTTGGATTTGAAGGTTATCTTTCCAGGGCTGATTAGTTAACAGTTCTGGGAAGGAAAGCAATTACCAGGGTAAGTGTGGAAAGAGAAGGAAAGAGGAGGTAAGAGAGGATAAGGTCATGAAGCTAAGGTGAAGTCATAAGGAGCTAATAGTCACAATACCAGGTGCTGCAGGGCAGTCAAAAGTATAAGTACTGAGAAATGACCATAAGATTTAGGTACCATGAGATCCTAGCACTCTTTCAAAGACCAGTTTCACTGAATGGTAGAAGTAGAGACAAGAGTATAGTTAATGATTGAGAGAATGAGAATAAATTATACATTTGAAAATTTGGGTGCCTACAAGAAGAAGTTAGGAACTCAAGAGGGATATATCAGGTAATAGGACAAAATAAGGTTTTAAAGATTAAGTGCTAAATGTTATAATTCTTTTGCTTACCTGGCAAAGATGAATTCATACAACTCCAAATTTCAACCTAAAATTGTAATCACCAAAAGGCTTTTATATAACCAGTTCTTAAATATGACAATATCAGAAATTACATATAGCTAATTTGATTATGTTTAGCTCTGTATAGTAAATGTTCTCAGACTACATGAGTATCAAACAGCTATTCAGGGAAGAAAAAAATAAAACTGAGATGTAAAAATATTGCTTGCTCTTTTCCCATTTTCCCATCTAAGAGCACTAATAATGAGTCTGGATACTCAGGATGCTTATTGGAATCACTGCTTCTAAGTACAAAACCAAAAATGTCTACAGAGCAAGTAAAGGCAAATGTGTCTGTCAGAATTGTTTGATCAACTTTCCCCCCTCATGGGACACCTGGCTGGCTCAGTGGTTGAGCACCTGCCTTCGGCGCAGGGCATGATCCTGGAGTCCTGGGATCGAGTCCCACGTCGGGTTCCCCACAGGGAGCCTGCTTCTCCCTCCACCTGTGTCTCTGCCTCTCTCATGAATAAATAAATAAAATCTTTAAAAAAAAAAAAAAACCCAAACCCACAACTTTTCCCCTCTCACATAATGCAAGCCACCACATCTAAAAAAGTCTGTCTCAGGGGATCCCTGGGTGGCTCAGCGGTTTGGTGCCTGCCTTTGGCCCAGGGTGTGATCCTGGAGTCCCGGGATCGAGTCCCATGTCAGGCTCCTTGCGTGGAGGCTGCCTCTCCCTCTGCCTGTGTCTCTGCCTTTCTTTCTCTCTCTGTGTGTGTCTCTCATGAGTAGATGAACAAAATCTTTAAAAATAAGTAAGTAAGTAAGTAAGTAAGCAAGCAAGCAAGCCTGTCTCATGTCAGCTCAGAATTCCTTGGCCTGGCTCACCAGTATCCCAAACTCTGAGGATGGCCCAAGCACTGAAGCATTTTAAGTTACATGACTGAAACAGGCAAGCAATATATCTACAATACACAAAAAAATGGGAAGACAGGAATAATGAGAAGTCACACATTTCCCCTTATCCGAAGTTTAACTTTTCAAATTCAAGATAAACAGAAGATTTAGTTATTATGGTTTTCATAAAATTATCAAAATAATAAGCAAAATTCCAAATTCCAGAAAAACTATTATAATGAAATCTAAAGACTGTAATACATTTATATTTACTTTTATACATTATAGGATAAACAATAAAAGATGAAAGATGACATTCTACCTAGGAATTTGTATGATGATCTTTTTAAAGTACTCAGTTAAATCTGACATTTTAATTTGGTCATAAACCCAAATCACTTTGAAAATTTTCTTGAATCGAAAAGTTAACTTATTAAATGGCTTCATTTAGACAAAAGCTTCCATAGTTAAATTAAATATGACCTACCATTGTTTCGGGGCAATAATCTGGGGCTCGCTGTAACAGATGCTTTAGTCGGGATTCACTTTTTGAGGAGAATATCTATTTGACAAAGAAAAAAAAAAAGAAAAAGAAAAAGAAAAAGTTTTGTGGCATTTTTTCGTAAGACATAAGAGGTAAAATTTATTGTCCTCTATGTTTATAAGTTGTCTAGAATATTTTCCAACTTCTTTTTATATACTAAAAACCTTTGGAAAGATCTAAATTAAGCTGAGGTAACATCTCTTAAAAGGTTGGTTAGTCTGGCAAATAATCAAGAAGGTCCGTGGCAAGTCTAGACCCTTTTCTAATGATCAAAAATGGAGAAAACCAGGCTACCAAATCTGTTAGAGGACAAAGGAGAAAAAGAAAGAAAACAGAAAAGAAAAAAAGAAAAGTTCATTGTAAACTGTTCTACAAACCGCTTTTAGTCAACTGACGACAATGTAAAACAGACTGTCATACCCTTGATATAACAAATCCGTGAATAGCATTATGGTATAAACTTCCATAAAATACCACTAAATGGAGACAAAGCCATTTTTAATAAAAATGCTAAGGAGTTGACAAGTTCACTCACCAGGCTAACTGGCTCTCTTCCAAATAGAATTTTAATTAATGCAATTATAATTTGATGTCTCAGTAAATTATAAACCATTATATATTAGATAGAACTTCATGGTTACCTGCAAATAGTCAAGACTGTGAAATCCATGAATGCTAAGGACAATGAAAAAGGATTTATCTCTAGTTAGTTTTAGTAGCCATTTTTCTCCCAAACTATCAACTATAATAAGTGACGAGAGCTAGAACATCACCATTTTGTAACCACTAGTGAATTAATGCACTTAGGCAATTATCAATAATTACTGTAATGTTAATTACAAAAAGAGACAACCAGACACAATAAAGTTATGAATAAGACCTGCTGAACAAAAAAACAAAACCAAAACAATACAAAATCTAACCTGAATCTCAAGCCTCTGGACCTATCTCATTAGGTTACTGTTAGCCATGTGTGGTTACCTAAATTTAAACTTAGATCAATTAAAGTTAAATAAAATTTAAAATTCAGTTCCTCAAAATCTTTTTCCTCAACCTCTTTAAACTCATTTCAAATGTTCACTTGACACATGTAGCTAGTGGTTACCATACCGGATCACACAGATATAGAGTATTTTCATCACTGCAGAAAGCTCTTTAAGATAACTCTGCTCCAAATCTACCTACCAATTACTAAGAAATAGAGAGGAAAGAGTAACACATTAAATAATACCATTAGGTTGCAAATAGCGTAATTCAGATTATAAGAAACTCTATAGGATAAATGAATGACCAGATTTATTCAATAAATAAGAAAAGTCAGGAGAGCAGTGCTTCAGCATCCTTATGGTCACACATCTAGGGGCCATTTTTGCTTTTAAAAGCTGTTGTTCTGACAGTAAATTTGCAGAAAACTTAATTTGCCATAGTGGCATGCAATACATGATCCTGGATTGGATCCTGGAATTAAAAAAAAAGATTACTATAAAGGAAATTATTCGGATAAATTGGTGAAATTAGAATATGAACTTTAATAATAATGAATCAGTGCTATGCTCCTAAATTTTATGGTGATTGTGTTGCAGTGACATAGGACAATGTCCTTGTTCTTGGGAGATAACATGCTGGGATTTAGGAGTAAATGATCATGTCTATAATGAATTCCAAAATATTTCACCAAAATAACAGTATCTGTATATGTAGAAAGAGTTAAAGCAAATGTTGCAAAATGTTAATGATTTTTTTTTCTTAAAACTGACAACTAAGAAGGGTACAAACTGTTGTTTTGAGGAATATCCCTCAATCTGGGTTTGCCCTATTGTTTCCTCATGACTCAGGTTATGCATTTTTGATAGGAACGCTCCTTAAGATGCTGGCTTCTTTTTAGTGCATTATGTCAGCAGACCTATATGGATTTGTTTCATTATTGGTGATGTTAACAGTGATAAACTTGGTTAAGGTGCTATCCAGCAGATTTCTCCAAAACAATTATACTTAATAAACAGTTACATACCCAATAGCCTCAACAATGATCATGTAAGCTTACCTGTTCACATACATCATGGCACATTTGATTATCCTTTGAATGATTACAACACAGTGCACCTAAGAGAAAAAATAAACACCAGATGTTGCCCACTATTAAATAAACAAGATAATTAAACTAAATCAAATGGCTACACAAAACATTTATTCAACAGATTACTATTATTCATTTTAACTCAACAAACTTTTACTGCATAACTATTACAAGCCAAGGACAGTGCCAACTTTGAGCACATGGTCCTCAAGAAACTTGTAGGCTAATAGTGGAGACTGTCACATGTACTTTCTATGTGCCAGAATTTTACTAAGCTTGCTTTAAGCATTGTCTCATTCAATCCTTAAAATTGCCCTATAGGCCAGAAAGATCAGCCATTTGATTTGAAGGTTGAGGCCTTGAGCCATGTGATAGCAGCCCAATCTCTAGCAAGACTGGGGAATGGAGATTGAGTTCAACCATATGGCCAATAATCTAATCAATCATTTCTATGTGATGAAATCTCAATGAACACTAGATACCAAAGCTCAGTGGTATCTAGTTGGTGAAGACACTGATGTGCCAGGGGGTGATGCACACTGATTCCATGAGGGGAAGGCACAGAAGCTCTGCATCTCCTCCCAGACCTCACCCCGTATGTCTCATTTGGCTGGTCTTCCTGATTCGTATCCTTCATAATAAAACTGTAATCATAACTATAGAGCTTCCCTGAGCTCTAAGCATCATTCTGGTGAATTACTGATTTTGAGGTGGTTGTGGGAAACCTGGGTTTACAGCCAGTTGTTCAGAAGTGTGGGTGGCCTAGCACCTAAGCTGGTATCCGGGCTAAATACTGTCTTGTTGGGGACCATGCCCTTTAACTCATGAAGTCTGTTCTAACTCTGGGTGATAAGTGCCAGAATTGAGATTCCATACATACAGTTGTGGCTGAAACAGAATATTGGAGAAATGAGGTGACTGCTGGAAGGGATATGGTTTTAAGAAAAGGCACGGAGTTTGGGGCTAGGGATGCAACAGTGAATAAATGTTACGTTCTCTGACTTTATCCAGGTTACAGCCTGATGGTAAAACAAAGTCTAGACAAGAGGAAAGGATATAAGGATACTAATAAATTAAGAGGGAAGCTGACATCCTTCATTTTCTCAGTGAAACAGATTAGGTCTGAAAACAAAAAGGATTGAGGGTTTGAGGTCAAACTGTAGAGGTGTGGAGCAGTCACTTTGGAGAACACAGAAAGGAGACAACTATAAATGCCTTTCTCAAACTTGTATTCTACTCATGAGTTGTTAATATTTATCCCTCAGGAGAAAATGTTTCATGTTCAAACAAACTGGGAAATGAAGGATTTAAAAAGTTAAAGAGAATTCCTTACTGCAGCACTTCACAAAGTCTTTAATATGTTTATACATTACTAATCTTCCAAAAAGGGATCTAAGTAGACAGATTTCTCAGAACACAGAACACTTTTTTCATTCCACTTACTAACATTTCAGAATGCCAGTTTGAGAAACATCAAATTAGAGAAAAGGAAAAACGCTGCCAAGCAGCATTACAGACCAAGAAATGCATAGATGGGCTATAGAGATAAATGGCAGGGACATGTTATTATTCTAGAGTGTATCTGATGGAAAAAAAGATACAGCTGGATTGATTAGGGGCTGTCAAAAGAGCAGAGATGAAAATATTACGTTTCAGGCAGCTGGATCTGATACAGTGGTTTAAAATATAAATTTGCAACATAATCTCTTCAAATGCAATCTATACAATTTCAGTACATAAATTAGATGAAAGCAAAGTTTTTTTTTGATTGAAGGTAGGGTTTGTATTGGGAGAAAATGAGTGAATAGATGAATTAAACAAAGAGCTCTTTAGATTTTACCAACAAGCTTCTTGTTCAAAACTGGAAATTGTTTTCCACAAAACAGTGACAGGGTATATGATATTATTGGCATATTCCTATATTTGGTTTCATAAAAGACTATTGTGGCTGGCTTTTCAATATTATTTCTATTATTTAAAAAAAGGTGGCTTCAGTTCTAACACTTGACTTAAAGATTCTGAAGAATATAAAAATTCCACTAAGTTTCAGAAGAAAAAAAGTCCCTTGCTTGTAAGGTTAGAGTTACTTTCTCAGAAACTCTAATTCAAGGGGAGAGAGGGCAATAAGTCATGAGGCTTTCTCCAAACACTCCTTCTCCCCTACCAGGCCACACCATGCTCTCCCCATCTTCTAAGAGTCTGTTATGTCCTCAGCCTCTTACTCATTAAAATGGGGAGGGCAGGTAGGAAAAAGAAAAAACAAAACAAAAAAAGACTCTCTTGTGTGATAATCAAGTGTTCTTTTGAAGTGCTGTAGAAGTTGCCACTTTTTACTATTTTCTAACACAAAGGTCATTTGAGGGCAAAAAATCCAGCTGATCATAAGCAAAGATAACTCAGGATAACATATGGTCCCAATAAGCACAAGCTTAGCAAAAAGTAAACACTCAGGCAGACAAGAGTCTGATTTGGGCCTAGGGATCTTTGAAAAACAGTTTTTTGGAGCAAAGGTCTATTTAGAACAGAAACAAAATGTGTTATAATGAAAGTCCAGTAACAATGGAAAATTTTATTAAAAATATCATTATAAAGGCCTATTTTTTCCTGTTTAATAGTTAAGGTCAAATTTATAAAGTAGTTACCCTCAAAGTTAAATTTTTAAAATAATTCTTTTTTCATTAAGAAACCTCAAACTTTGGAAAATAAGAAAAATGATCTATACTCCCACTGTCTTGCCAGAATCTATGTTGACATTTTGACATATTTCTTTCTAGTCTTTCCAAAAGCTTTCTGATCATTCTGACAATACGGATTACAGAGGACAGCCCAAAGTCTTCTGGTAGTAACTCCCTTCCCCCTCCCAATGGAGCATTCCTCTGTAATAGTACATTTCCTCCCTCAAGAGGGTTGCCACACTCCATGAACAGGCTAGGGGACCTATGCTCCATCACACTTTCCATACCCTGTTCTTAACGTTAGCCATTATTATATTGGTGCACATTTTCCTTCCTTTGAAAGAACAAAACTTTAAAAAATCTTTAACACTACATATTTTTCAAGAAATAAATGTCTACAAATAAACATCAATTCATTCGCCTTCATCAAGAATAGGGAGAAGGGATTCAAATGGCAATTAATGTGGCAATTAAAGGTCTTTGTCTTTTTTAGAGCTATTAAAATGGATTAATTGGGTCATTTAACAATTAGAGTGCAAAAAAACTCTCCAAGGCCTAATGTTTTTATATAAGACAATTAATTCTAGAAATGTTTTGTTTTTATAATTTGATTCTAATCTAATTTCTTGTTCTTCAAGAAAAATAGTTTAAAACTGCTTATTCTCAAGAAGGGGAATTGAACCGATAAAGGTAAATTAGTTCAAAATAAAACTTGATGTTGACATGATGAAAATAAAAAGCTCAGGTGTTATCCTCACTAAAGACGTAAGGATGAGTGTCATATTTTGCACCCTTATTCTAAGGGTCTATAATTATAAAATTAATAAAAACCAAAGAGATGGCTGAAGGCCATGTATATGGGCTTTAAAAAGGTATTAGTGCAACCTAGAAATATGCAAGCAGAATTACCCAATAATTAGAAACATCAAGGTTTGGCTAACAGCTTGGGCCAAGTGCGTACTAAAGATAGGCCAGCAAGCAGGAAGTACATGCTCCAGCCACAAGGGAAAAATGCAGCTTCTAAGACCCACCAGCACTTACAAAAATAAATGCCCTAATCTAAAACTAAAATATTCATGGAATTATAGGATTTTTTAAGCTAGGAGGAATTTTGCCACAGAAACCTCCTAAAATCTATAATTCAGTTAATGAAAAGCCATTCTTGTTTTCTTTTTTAAAGAAAAAAAAGATTCCCCCTAATTAATGTCTTCCTACAGAATTACAACAACAGAATATATGTATCCTACCACTATTGAAGGGGAGAAAAACTAAATATGAGCTGATACTGGAAAAAGTCAGTCTAATAAAAAGGATGTCTTTGGGATGCCGGGGTGGCTCAGTGGTTTAGCACCTGCCTTCAGCCCTGGGCATGATCCTAGAGTCCCGGGATCGAGTCCCACATTGGGCTCCCTGCATGGAGCCTGCTTCTCCCTCTGCCTATGTCTCTGCCTCTCTCTGTGTGTCTCATGAATAAATATATAAAATATTTAAAAAAAGGATGTTAATAAAAAACTCATCTTACTTTTAATCACATTTTTGTTTTCAAAACAGCCTGGAAATTGACACTTTAAAAACATTTAAATGACAGCTACCCCTTCAACTTACAAGTACATTCCTGCAATTTTACATTTACTCCTTTAAAAATATATGTGTTTGTGTTTCTATACAAAATATATCATCATCTAAGGAAGAGCCAAACAGTAAAGGGATTACCCATTTACCCACTACCTGGATTCAATATTGCTAACATTTCATCATACTGCTTTATTTATGTGTCTAGACATACTTTTTTCTGAGTCATTGGCAAGTTACAGATATCCTTCTCCATTGTTTGTCTTATACTCCAGTGCCAAAACAGTCATTTATATTCATTTGATTCTATTACCAATATGACTGCCAGATAGACCCTTCATGATGTCACTCTTCTAATAAAGGGCTCACAATGGCCTCTTGGTATTCCAATTTTAAACCTTCCAAGTCTTCTTACAACTTTACCTTCCCTGATCTTCTATTATTTTTTAACAAGGAAAGCCTACATTTACCCTGAACACAGCATTCTGACTGAAATGTTTAGTGTTTTGTGCTGACCTAAATCCAAACACCATTCAAGGCTTAAATCCCACCTCAACTTTTAGTAAGACTTTCTCCTCCAATAACTCTAAACTCTTGATTTTTTGGCTACTGAAGGCCCTGATATTCTAGTCAGAACTGGCAACTTTAACATTTAAATTTTCTCTAATCACTTCATGTGTGTACTTATGGTATCCCCAATTTGACTATAAACTACTTTTTTTTAAAAAGATTTTATTTATTTATTCATGAGAGACATGAGAGAGAGAGGCAGAGACACA